AATATGTTTGGGGGTGGGGGGAATAGAAGCAGATATTGTGATTCCAATAAGCAGACAAAGAAGGTCAAAAGAATTACAGTTTTTCTAAATTGTTCAACTTCTCAACCGCCGTTGGAATGAGGCCTGAAAATTGATTTCCTTCAATACTCCTGTGATATTCACACAAATATTTAAATGAAACAAAACTACGGAAATAAATTGGATATTACACTAAATTCGCAATCTGGGATCTTAACCAATTTCTCTGCCTTTGAAAAACGTTATATTTATGACTATGCTAAGTGATTGAGTCAACAAACAATTCATTTGAAAATAAAGAAATGATTTCAACATACAAGTTTTTGAGGGTTGTAATATTGGTGAGAACTTTGGGGAATGGCCCTGATAATCTGTTTCCCATCAAAGAGCTGCATATTCAATTAACAAGAATCTTTAACATCACTCTCAAGTTGTTTATATAATTACATAAAAAGAAGAAATTGAAGAGACAATGCAGAGAAACCAAAGGATGCAAAGCAAAAATTCTTACAGCTCAATCAAGCTCATGGTAGACCATTGTAGTGGTATTGAACCAGTGATGATGTTACGACTAAGGTCCCTGTTTCAGAGTGAAAGACAAAGTTAGTGCATTTCACCAGAAGTCAGCGCTATAATGGAATAGAAAAATATCACACAAAATTTTATTTACCATGTTTCAGTCCTTCATGTCTACATCCATAAAGATATTCATTATTACAAGTATGTTCCTAAAAATCCTCCCTTCAAGTTTTGTAAGTGAAACTTAAAAATTCATTCTTATAAGTTTTATGGGTGAAGCTTAAAAATCCCTCCCTCACAAGTTTAGTTTTATATGTGAAACTTAGAAACTTCTTCCTCACAAGTTTTATGGGTGAATTTTCTAACGAAACTTAGAAACCTCATTTGATCTCCTTTATCTCATTTAAGGTGATGACCCCTCATCAGGTGGGATAATTTTTCTCATCTCAAGAGCATTTATTTATTATTGTTTTAAAATATCTTAATTTTAAAAGAAGAAACAAATTTTTAAAATAAATATAAGATTTTTAATTCTAAATAATATCCTAAAGATAAATAATATATTCCTATATCTCAACAATATCTTACATATTTAAAATTGAAAATTTGAATTGTTTTCCAACTCATGAATATATGGATGGCTTGGGAATAACATGCAGAGCAACGAGACATGGCTTCAAAACTGGGGTTTGGTATCTTACAACTGTTTGAGATAACGAAGCTTGGAAAACTCTGGTGAGAGAGTACCAGTCAGATTCTGAGCCTTCAGGGATCTGTTGATTTATAATATGAAATAAAAATCTGAGATATAGAATTTATATGGTGGTAACATGATTATTCCAAGATATCCAACCAATAAACAAATACAGTACATGAAATGAGAGAAAAAACAATCTTGCGAATCCCAATTGTTACACTCCATTGTGTATAAAACTTAGGAAGTCCTAACACACGGATTTTAATCTAAAATATGTTTCGGTAGAATTTATAGTAATTCAAGAATTTAATTAAATTGTATTGACAGGATTGAAGTGTTTTATACTATTAACCAATCACGAATTGTCATATATGTTAAGACGGTTGACTTTAGTAATATTTGATAGTATAAAAATCTTTACACTAACCATGTGTTATCAAAGTTAAACTCTTCATTCATTTGCTTTCTTTTTATTGAAAAGAAAATGTATTTTGTTCATATGGAATCAAGGAGCCTAATTTGTACATGCCCCAAATTTTACACCCATCTTCCTATCCTGTTTTTTCTCTCTCTTCTTTTTAAATCACATTACTTGTCAGAACTGTCATTTTCTTTTCCTATCTCTCTCTCTTAAACCAAGGTATGTACACCTATTGAAATATGAAATGATCATTTTTTTTTCTGAAAACAGATTGTGTTACCTACCCAAAATAATGTATATTTTTGGTCTTTGACCTGTCTGTGAGACTAGTGACTAGTCCCACTTCTGTGAACAGTTACTCATTCTTTGAACATTAATTGATCAATATTTCCTAATTAATAAACAACAAATTACTTTTTACTAGACACACAGTTTGATGTTTTCCTCTAGTGTACCAAAGAATAGACACAGTTTGATGCAACAAAAAAAAAAATAGTTTTAAGCAAAAACGTGTACGTATGGCCCAACAGATGAACGTTAATAATTTACAGAAATACGAGAAAAAATTATAGAAGGGTTTTTTTTGACAGATAGAACTTTATTGCTGCACTAAATGAAAGAGATATAGACAGCACATCCTTTTCAGTTTTCAAAGTCAAAGATCTGCAACTTGCATTGGGTCGGTTGTGCTATCGAGACCCTTGTCCGAAAAAACTCCGTTTTTTGTATATTAATGAGTTTTGTTACTTAAACATAAAAAAATTAACATTAAACATGATACGTATATAATTTTTTTGGTCACTTATTTTTTTCACATATTTATTTTAAAAATATAATATACTCCAAGAAACATTTTCCTCTTCTCACTCAGCGTGGTGCTTTACAGACGACAAATGTGCATGATTAAGATTCGCGACAGTAAACCTTTCAATAAGACAGAATATGCATGACTCATTGGAAATATTCTAGGTAAAAAGAAAATAGAGAAACACCCGTTACCCTTTTCTTCCTTTTTGTTTCAACTAAAAGAGTTATTGGAATCCAGCAAAGAGGACATGAATTTATAACCAAACAATTTTGTTCTTAAAAAATGAATTTGGAGCTGCACGTGAAGTTTGATGGTAACTTCAGGTGCTGTCTGAAGTAAAAAAAAATACTCGAAGCAATATTGCAGTGAAGATTAATTAATCAAACAAAACTTGAAGAAAATCTTCTTCGTATCCCCTAGTTCTAACTGCACACGTGATTCCATGTGATTGTGTGCCATAATTTTAGTTCTTGAAAACACAGAATCTATTGGGATTGGACCAAAAAATTGATGTAAACAAGAGAAAGAGAGAGAGAGAGTGCATTACATGCTTACAACATGGCAAGAAGAATTCTGATTGAAGGAACAATCACAAGTCACAGAACTCTCAAAGCCTTTCCTCACATCAGACACATTCCAATTCCCTTTTCCAGTGCAAGGATCCACCCCAAAGTCCCAATCCTTCTTCCCAATCTTCATCCCTATCTCTTTCAATGCCTTCACTGCACACAAATCAACTCCATCAATCAGAAAAAATTAACATAACGACATTCAAATGAATCTTAAGGTGCCACAGATCCATATGCATAGAACTGATTGAGGCTATGATGAAACAACCGATTCTTGATTGTTTTTCCAGTCCAACATTAAATATATATATATATATATATAAGAT